GCAAACAATCAGACCATGATAAGAAGCAATACAATACAGGCCATCTGCTAGTCCATGGAAATAAGAACACCCAGCAAATATGCAATAACACTAAACCAAGTAGCTTTAAATTAGTGGAAGAACAGTATCTGCTGTTTTTCCTGCTGTTGTTGTTTTTGGTTTGTAAGTTAACAATTGTGTGATTGTAAACAAAGGGAAGAAATAATATAGAGCTGTTCTCCAATTTCTAAATTTCTGATGGTATGAAAAATGAGAAAATTCATAATTTTTTATCATCTTTCCATTAAATAGAAAGACAATATTTTATCGTCTTTCTAACCCAATTTCTAACTGTAATGGTATGTGAGAATGATCTTGAGAGACAGGATGGCAAATTGCTAAGTGGACAACTGGAATGTAAAAATGTCTCAGCCTACGGAAGGGGGAAAGGTATGGGAAACCTTTGAAAAGGTATCCTTCCTAGTTTTCCGGAGAGTAAAAGGACAGGAGGGGAGAAATACTTTCAGACATGCAAGATTACTGTGAAGGTAATCTTACAATAAAAATAGAGCTAGTATTTCTGGTTGTGCTTCTTCTCTGAATTTCCTCACTGGGATAACACTGAACTCATCTCAGTCACATACCCTTTGCCGTCTATTCAATCCTTTGTTAGCATCCATTTTTCTGCTATTTGGCATAGCATTAAGCTTGTTGAGAGAAGGGAACCAGTAGCGAAGTTTATCCCATCAATGCCATAGCTTTGTTTTCCAGTCTTGAAGGGGGAAATCTAATCCCATGACTCAGTGGCAAAGAATTGTTATCCTAGTGAACCTATGTAGAAGTCATAGTTTAAGGGCTGTTTATCAACCAGCACTCCTCAGTCTGAAACTGTAGATATTTTAGATTATGATTTGCATTCATGCCTGCTGGAATGGCAAACTAAGAACAGGATAATAGTTATAATCTAATTCCTCTGCTTGGGATAGACTGGATAAATGTCTGTGTTTAATTAAGAATTATTAGAAATGGAATTAACTTGAAAGGCAAAACTCTGTTGTTGTTATACATTTCTAACTGGCATGCTTTATTATCCCATTTG